CCCTCCCAGTGGGGACTACATGGGGGACTTACAGTACAGCATATTTCTCCCATCAGGCACTGCTGCACGAGAGGGATCATCGTCCCAGAATGCACCGTTAAGGGGATTATCCCCTCGTGCAGCAGAACCGACAATTTAAACAAAAATACATAACTTGTTAAATACACGGTGGATTTACACGAATGGACGTTCGGTAGATAGCTGGGGTCTGAGCGCATCATTCGTGAGATTACCGCTCAGATCCCAGCTAAAATAACCGAACGCCGCACGAAAAACACATTTCTTTTAAAACATACGAAAAGGACCGATTGCTTTTAGTGAACACGATCCTGAAACTCCCGAACGTCCTGGAGGCTCAGCGGTGTTCGTGCCGTCGAATAGCTATTGGTAACACTATGCGTTCGACAACTCGGGCCCGCTGAGGAACAAAGGATCCAAGATGGCCGACCGCCGCATGGTCGGTAGTCGAACGACGGCCACCCAGGAGAGCCTCTAATAACCGATTGCAACAATGTTGCAATCGGTTAACTAGCGCCACACGCCTCTAAGTGTGTGGGCTATTAGGGGGTATCGCGTTCGGTTCACGAACGGCTTTCTAAAGTGCCGTTCGTGAAACGAAAGAAAATCCCCAAACAAAACCGCCATTTGCATTCGGCGGAAACAGCAGTACAGGCAATACAGAAAATACATTAACATCTACATAAGCGTAAAGCGCATATCTCGCCCGACCTATTGGCAACCCTTAAAGGCACAGTCTCTAGTTATTGTCCAAGTGGCTAGGTTTGCCACAACCGTGCAGCTTGTGAGGAAGGGAATGAGAGAGTACCTGCAAGCCCAAGCAGAGTGGGCCAGGGGGGAGATTCCCCAGCGGCAGTGTGTGTCCCAGGGAGCCAAAGGTGCCATCCTTCCTCCCCAGTGGCAGTGTGTGTCCCAGGGAGCTGAAGGTGTCGTCCTTCCTCCCCAGTGGCAGTGTGTGTCCCAGGGAGCTGAAGGTGTCGTCCTTCCTCCCCAGCGGCAGTGTGTGTCCCAGGGAGCCGAAGGTGTCGTCCTTCCTCCCCAGCGGCAGTATGTATTACAGGGAGCCGAAGGTGTCGTCCTTCCTCCCCAGCAGCATTGTGTGTTACAGGGAGCCGAAGGTGCCGTCCTTCCTCCGCAGCAGTGTGTGTCCCAGGGAGCAGAAGGTATCATCCTTCCTACCCAGCGGCAGGGTGTCCTGCAGGGAGCAGAGACCGTTGGTCTAGCACCTCAGCAGCAGGACAAAATATTGAAAGGGGAGACGGTCGGTTCCCCTCTCCACCAGCAGAGAGAGTGTCAGGGAGAGGAGCCTGCTACCCCCTCTCCCCAGCGGGAGCTTGACATACCCAGGGGAGACAGTAAGCCCCACAACCGTGCAGATGGGACCATGGTCTCTGCACTTACAGCACGGTGGGTAGGGACAGTTGATTCTACCCCCCAGCGACCGGGCTCTTTAGCCAAAGGGGAGACAGCCGGTCTCCCCCTCCGACAGCAGAGCTGTGTATCCAAAGGAGAGACAGTTGGTTTCCCCCTCCAGCAACCAGGCTCCAACCAGACTACTCCCGTGGTAGTGCTGGCACCAGGACAGAGTACCGCTGGTCTCTGCCCACTCAGCAACCCACCCAGTCCGCTTACCAGTCACCCACACAGCCATGGTGAGGCGCCTGGACATGGACAACGCTCTCCTCTACCCAGGTGTAGTAACCAGTTCTTGTGGGTGGGCGGTATTACTGATTGTGTTTTGTGGGTGGGCTGCTGGACTAACAAGGGCACTGACCGGCATGAGGTCAGATACCCAGTTAGTCTGATTGGTAAAGGGGAGAAGTGTGGCGAAACCAACCTCACCACTGTACACTGGAGAAGCCTGGTTGCTCACCTGCTGCCTTTGGACTATGGCCCCATGTTAAAAGACATCTTTTTCCCTGCAGAAAAGACTTATTCGTGTGGTCTGAGCGCCATTCGCTTAATAATGTGCGCTCAGACCTGAGCTATCTGGGGATATGTAGAACGTATATGTTTTATATACTGAATGTAATTTTATGTCTTTTACTGTATTGTTACTGCCATGTGGTTAATGGAGTTTTGCCTCTGTCCTTGGAGATAATTTGATTACTTCCCAATTATATCCAGGACAGAGAGGAGGGATTGTGATGTAATTGTGGGAGTGTTTAAAGGTGTATGTATGTGATTGGCTAAGAGACAATATCTTTCCCAGTTTCCCATTTGGTCCCCTAGGGGAGTGTCCACCAGGTGGGAGACCTGCATAAAAGCCGGGCAGTTAGCCCCAGTAAACCAGTTCTGCTTGATCTCAAAACGAAGTGTCGTCTCGTTATTGGGGAAATTGGATTGTATGCTGATTGCAAGGAGTGTAAGCTGATTGTATGCTTTTCCTGTTCAGCTGTTTACAGCATTCATATGCTTGAGATCATTCATATGCGTCTGCGGTTCGGTGGTTGTGGTGTCTGCTAGAGTGCTTGGAGCCCTCAGGAAGCGCTAGGAGCATCCTTCAACGGAGGTGCCCAGTTGGGGTGCCAGGTGATCCGTTACAATTCTAATTGTTTTAATGCTAAACTGCTAAATAGTACATTTTGGGGCCTGTTCTTCATATCTGAGCGTCAAATAGAAGTGTCTAATAGTGTGCTTACTGCGCACTTGTAAACATTCTAATTGTTTTGCTGCTAATCTGCTAAATAGTAAATTTTGGGGCCTGCGGTGCACTTCATATCTGAGAGTCAAATAGAAGCGTCAAATAGTGTGCTTACTGCGCAGTGGTAAACATTCTTATTTTCTGGGTACTAATCTGCAAAATAGTATATTTTGGGGCCTGTTCTTCATATTTGAGAGTCAAATAGAAGCGTCAAATTGTGCGCTTACTGCGCAGTTGTAAACATTCTAATTGTTTTGCTGCTAATCTGATGCTTACATTGGAGTTTTAAAAAGTAATTTATTTATTTTTTGGCGCTACATAGTATATTTGGGGTGTTCACTTCATATCTGAGAGTCAAATCGAAGCGTAACTTTTATTCGAATTTACTACATCGGTCACTTGTAATATTGTTTCACACCCACAACACTTGTTACACAGAACTAAGTGATCAAAAACAGAGTGATATTTTCTACACTAGAAACTACCAGATAACAAGCTGCTATATTTAAACCAGTGATCAATAGCTAAGAGGTACTTCAACAATATTGTAATTCTGTGGCAATACCCTCACAAGTCAAACTGAGAGGTCAGTTTATAGGGAAAACTGTTGCATGGAGGAAATTCTAAAACAATTTCCATATGTGCTTTGTAGACTTTACATGCTGGAAAAACACAGGTGCCAACTGCTGTGGCTTTCTGTAATGTGCATACCGGCAAGGAGGGCAGGATTGAGGAATGGGTGGAAGATGATGAGTGTTAATCTGCTAAATTGTACATTTTGTGGCCTGCTCTTGATATCTGAGAGTCAAATCGAGGCGTCTAATACTGCGGTTACAGCGCAATTGTAAACATTCTAATTGTTTAGATGCTAAGCTACTAAATATTACATTTTGGAGCCTGTTCTTCATATCTGAGAGTCAAATAGAAGCATCTAATAGTGCACTTACTGCGCAGTGGTAAACATTCTAATTGTTTTGGTGCTAATCTGCTAACTAGTACATTTTGGGGGCCTGTTCTTCATATCTGAGAGTCAAATCGAAGCGTTTAATAGTGCGTTTACAGCGCAATTATAAACATTCTAATTGTTTTGGTGCTAAACTGCTAAATAGTACATTTTGGGGCGTGCACTTCCTATCTGAGAGTCAAATAGAAGCGTCTAATAATGTGCTTACAGCGCACTGGTAAACATTCTTATTTTCTGGGTGTTAATCTGATAAATAGTACATTTTGTGGCCTGCTCTTCATATCTGGGAGTCAAATAGAAGCGACTAATAGTGTGCTTACTGCGCAGTTGTAAACATTCTAATTGTTTTGCTGCTAATCTGCTAAACAGTACATTTGCGGCCAGCGGTGCACTTCATATGTAAGCGTCAAATAGTGCGCTTACTGCGCAGTTGTAAAAGATTCTAATTCTTTTGCTGCTAATCTGCTGCTTACATTGGAGTTTTAAAAATAAATATTTTTTTTGGTGCTAAATAGTATATTTGGGGTGTTCACTTCATATCTGAGAGTCAAATCGAAGCGTGACTTTAATTCGAATGTACTACATCGGTCACTTGTAATATTGTTTCACACCTACAACACTTGTTACACAGATCTAAATGATAGAAAACAGATTGATATTTTCAACACTAGAAACTACCATGTAGCACGCTGCTATATTTAAACCAGTTATCAATAGCTAAGAGGTACTTCAACAATATTGTAATTCTGGGCAATACCCTCACAAGTCAAACTGAGAGGTCAGTTTATAGGGAAAACTGTTGCCTTGACGAAATTCTAAAACAATTTTCATATGTCCATTGCAGACTTTACACACAGGGGCCAACTGCTGTGGCTTTCTGCAGTGTGCATACCTGCAAGGAGGGCAAGGTTGAGGAGTGGGTGGAAGATGATGTGGAGGATGATGAGGTCTTAGACCCCACATGGAATCAAGGTCATGCGAGTGATGTGTGCAGTTTGGAGTAAGAGGCACCAGCACAGCATAAGAGGTAGCAGGGTGCAAAAGTGCAGCGGCCGTCCCCTAGCGCTCGTCAGGTAGGCTGTCCGGTGACTAGGACCCAGACACTGTCTGGGCGGCGGTCGGACGACCGGGACCCAGTATGCCTGATGTTGATGTTAGGAGTCACAGTGTGGAATGGATTAGCATGGTCTGGTGCAGGGTAATCGCACGTTCCCTGGTGTTGAGCACCAGCGTTTGCGCTGCCACATACCAGGATCCTGATTCAGCTTCAGTAAAAAGAGTACTGGATACCAGAAGCCATCACCAGACTGATCCGCAACTTGGAACAGGATGTGACATTCACTGTAGCCTCTGTGCAGGCTTTTGGCGTTGTCACGCTGCTGGCGCTTGTCTGTCTGTGCTGCAGCGTAACTTCGGCCTTCCCGCTCACGTCTCATGAGACTGTGCGAGCAGCAGCAGGTGATAGTGGCGTTTCAGCTGCAGCACACACAGGTCAGTGGCTCTGCACCAGACTTCCCTCCAATTGATCAGAGTTAAAGGATTTCAAGTGGACTCATTACAATTACAGGGCCTCCAAAGAGTCCTTTATTGTTATTTGTCATCACTACCTTCCTGCATCGGGAGTGGGTCATTTGCTACCTCATCCTCCTCCACCACCACGGTCATCGCCTCCTCAACCTATGGGTCACTTAGTATAAACTAGGTACACATTAGCAGAGGCTTGTGAAGGCCTTTTCTCCATGCATCATAAGTTGAGCATTTCTCCATGCATCAGGACTGCAAGAAATGCACCGCAGGCCGCAAATGTTTCTTTATTTGTATGTCCCAATATTTTGTGGGCTACCACAATTAAAAAAATAAAAATAAAAATAAAGTACAGTGTTGACTACCTCATCCTCCTCCTCTACCGCTGCTTCCACCTACACCGCCACGGTCACTGCCTCCTCAATAGTGATGCACCGAACAGTTCGCTGGCGAATAGTTCCTGGCGAACATAGCATGTTCGCGTTCGCCACGGCGGGTGAACATATGCGGGGTTCGATCCGCCCCCTATTCGTCATCATTGAGTAAACTTTGACCCTGTACCTCACAGTCAGCAGACACATTCCAGCCAATTAGCAGCACACCCTCCCTAGCAGACCCTCCCACCTACTGCACAGCATCCATTTTAGATTCATTCTCAAGCTGCATGCTTAGTGAGAGGAGGGAAAGTGTAGCTGCTATTGATTTGATAGGGAAATGGATAGCTAGGTTAGTGTATACAGTGTCCACTACAGTCCTGAAGGACTCATCTGATCTCTTCTGTAAGGACAATACCCCAAAAAGCCCTTTTTAGGGCTATAACATCAGTCTGCTTTTTTTTTTCTGTGTAATGTAATTGCACTTGCCTGCCTGCCTGACAGCTTCTGTGTCAGGCTCACAGTGGATACTGTGATCACTTGCCCAGTGCCACCACTCACTCACTGGTGTCACAATAGCTTGCATTTAAAAAATTTTTTTTTTTTTTTCACTATAATAGATTGAATAGCAGTTAGTTGTCTACCAGCTTCTGTGTCAGCCTCACAGTGGATACTGTGCCCACTTGCCCAGTGCCACCACTCACTCACTGGTGTCACAATAGCTTGCATTTAAAAAAAAAATGTATTTCACTGTAATAGACTGAATAGCAGTTAGTTGTCTGCAAGTGTCTGTGTGTCAGGCTCGCAGCGTATACTGTGCCCACTTGCCCAGTGCCACCACTCACTCACTGGTGTCACAATAGCGTGCATTTAAAAACCCAAAAACTTTTTTCACTGTTATAGATTGAATAGCAGTTAGTTGTCTCCAAGTGTCTGTGTGTCAGGCTCGCAGCATATACTGTGCCCACTTGCCCAGTGCCACCACTCACTCACTGGTGTCACAATAGCGTGCATTTAAAAACCAAAAAACTTTTTTCACTGTTATAGATTGAATAGCAGTTAGTTGTCTGCAAGCGTCTGTGTGTCAGGCTTGCAGCGTATACTGTGCCCACTTGCCCAGTGCCACCAATCACTCACTGGTGTCACAATAGCGTGCATTTAAAAACCAAAAAACTTTTTTCACTGTTATAGATTGAATAGCAGTTAGTTGTCTCCAAGCGTCTGTGTGTCAGGCTAGCAGCGTATACTGTGCCCAGTTGCCCAGTGCCACCACTCACTCACTGGTGTCACAATAGCATGCATTTAAAAACCAAAACACTTTTTTCACTGTTATAGATTGAATAGCAGTTAGTTGTCTTCAAGCGGTTGTGTCAGGCCTACAACGTATACTCTGCCAACCTTTGCCAGTTCAAAGTGCCACTCTTATCTGGTGTCACAATAGCTTGCATTTAAAAACCCAAAAACTTTTTTCACTGTTATAGATTGAATAGCAGTTAGTTGTCTCAAAGCGGGTGTGTCAGCCCTACAGCGTGTACTCTGCCCAGTGCCACCACTCACTCATCTGGTGTCACAATAGCTTGCATTTAAAAACAAAAAACTTTTTTCACTGTTATAGATTGAATAGCAGTTAGTTGTCTTCAAGCGGGTGTGTCAGGCCTACATGGAATGCGTGGCTCTGCAGAGGAGTTGGTGACACCGCCACGACTTGCAGGCAGGCCTGCTGCCACCTCCTCTACTCCTCTTACTCCATCCTCTTCCATAACCTCTTCGGCTGAGTCCTCTTCTGCTGCTGCGTCTTGCTCCACATCAATGGATAGGGGACGTAACAGGGATTAAACTGATAAGAATAGTACTACTTAACACACCACTCCTATCTGGTGGCACATTAGATTACACGCGCAGTGCCCCAAATTTGAAGTAGGAGGACCGACCAAGCATCTTTTTCCATCTCCCGGTTCCTAAAATCGATGCCATATACACGTCCCCTGATAGGGGACGTAACAGGCATTAAACTGATAAGAATAATACTACTTAACATACCTTATAATAATGCAGAGAGAGGCAACGCAGAGAGAGGAGTCTGAAGAAGAGGAGTCAGAGGAGGAAGGTGGCTTTCAGGAGGTGGAAGACCAAACACAGCAGGCGTCCCGGGGGCTTGTTGTCACCTTTCGGGGACCCGTGGTGTTGTACGTGGCTGGGTGGAGGAAGGGGAGCGGGGAGTTTGGTCTGTCACTGTGAAGCGGGCGTAACCCATACACTACCTGATCGATACAACATCATACAGTAGGTCACCCCCTCATTATTTTTATGGCCCCCACCCACCGCTCACGGGTGGGGGCGGGCAGAAGGACAGTAGGTCCCTCCCCCATTGAGATATATGGCCCCCACCCACCGTGCAGGGGTGGGGGCAGGGGGGGAGGACAGTAGATCCCCCCTTATCCTTATTTACTGAATATTCCCCTGTATAACAATGTTTGGCAATTAGTGAATATTCCCTATTCTGCTCTGTGTCAGTGTGTATCAGGGATCCTTAGGATAGGTGTCAATCCATATCTGCCAAGTGACCCTATGTAGGGGGAACATTCCCTATTCTGCTCTGTGTCAGTGTGTATCAGGGATCCTTAGGACAGGTGTCAATCCATATCTGCCAAGTGACCCTATGTAGGGGGAACAGTCCCTATTCTGCTCTGTGTCAGTGTTTATCAGGGATCCTCAGGATAGGTGTCAATCCATATCTGCCAAGTGACCCTATGTAGGGGGAACAGTCCCTATTCTGCTCTGTGTCAGTGTGTATCAGGGATCCTTAGGATAGGTGTCAATCCATACTTGCCAAGTGACCCTATGTAGGGGGAACAGTCCCTATTCTGCTCTGTGTCAGTGTTTATCAGGGATCATTAGGATAGGTGTCAATCCATATCTGCCAAGTGACCCTATGTAGGGGGAACAGTCCCTATTCTGCTCTGTGTCAATGTGTATCAGGGATCCTTAGGATAGGTGTCAATCCATATCTGCCAAGCGACCCTATGTAGGGGGAACAGTCCCTATTCTGCTCTGTGTCAGTGTGTATCAGGGATCCTTAGGATAGGTTTGAATCCATACCTGCCAAGTGACCCTATGTAGGGGGAACAGTCTCTATTCTGCTCTGTGTCAGTGTGTATCAGGGTCTCTGAGGACAGGTGTGAATCCATATGTCAAGGTGTCAATATGTCATATGTCAGGTGTCAATCCATATTCATTGTGATTTAGGAATGTTAGGTGATTTCTGCCCTTTATGGATTAAAACCAGACTCTGTATCAACTGTGTAATTTTCCATGGGAGTTTTGCCATGGATCTCCCTCCGGCATGCCACAGTCCAGGTGTTAGTCCCCTTGAAACAACTTTTCCATCACTATTGTGGCCAGAAAGAGTCCCTGTGTGTTTTAAAATTCGCCTGCCCATTGAAGTCTATGGGGGTTCGCCCGGTTCGCCGGTTCGCGAACATTTGCGGAAGTTCACGTTCGCTTTTCGCGAACCCGAAAATTTTGTGTACGCGACATCACTACTCCTCAACCTATGGGTCACTTAGTTTAAACTATGTACACATTAGCAGAGGCTTGTGAAGGGGTTTTCTCCATGCATCAGGAGTTGAGCTCAGTTTGAACAATGAAAGAGAATACCCTGCACTCAAACCTTCTTTTAAATGGATAATTCTGTTGATCCTCCTGGCAGCCATGCTTTAGATTTTGATTTATGTTCTTCCAAAGCTAAAATCAAAGATTCCATCTAGTTCTAGAACTATTTTATGGCTAAGCTGTATTTTTAATTTTAATTTTATTTTAAGTGATTTCCCTATCCACATTGGTTTGTAGGGCACTTGTCCTACTCTTACCCCCATTTTACTTGCTTTTGGAGCTCTTTAGCTCTTTCCAGGAGTTTGGGTCACCATTGACAAAAAGTTCGGGTCCCCATTAACCCCACAGGCTTTTGAAATAGGCTATATAAAGATAGAGGAGCATTTACTTCAGTACCCAAAATTAAAAAAATAACTGTACCACTAACCTTGCACCCTGTTGCCAAATCCAAGTACAGAATATAAAGAACTAAGGAAGCACAACTAGATGCCAGATGTGCATTGAAGGGGGTGGGGGGAGTATCCAGGGTAATTTATAAAAGTGTCAATTTCTATTGAAATCTACACTTTTTCTAACTAGCTACAGTGCTTTGGGGATCTGGTATCCATTTAATCAGACTTTTTTTCAAACTACTGTGAAGGAAAAAAGACTGTGTCATGGAGAGTTTTGCTCAATTCTGCTCTGAGAAGAGGAGCTACACAATAAGTAAATGTTTGATCAGTAAAGTTTGGTATTCCTGACGCTATAGTGTTACTTTAACTAACCACCTCAGAGGCTTGGGGTCCCTTAGTTTCCAGCCACCTAGACACAAAAGTAGCACTAGCTATTACTCCAATTAATAATAGGCAGGGGTGGTACAAAAATACCCTCTAAATTAAAAGGTTATACTCACTATAGAAGTCTTGCTTTAAGATCGTCTCTTTTATTTCTTCAGCTACATAACATAATATCTGATAACAAAAAATAGAGGAAAATGCACTGGGGAAAAAACCCAAAATGGTTCTTCTAGTTTGGTGGACCATGCAGTATATAAAGGAATTCAAACAATAATGGGGTTTTACATCCTTGCTAACTTGAAATACTCTAGAAACACTGTTTGGTTACTAATTACATTGTAGTCTTAGGTAAAGATCTGTTACAATGCATTAAAACCCCACAAGTATTTGTATTCCAAAAAGAGAAACTCATCCCCGTAGTTGGAACAG